GACATTACAATACAGCATTTTTTTCATGTCAACATGCATTTTTTAATAATGGAGCAAATTAGAATTCTTGTTGTCCATTTTTTTTACATATCACAACAATTATTTAATGATGGCATAAATTAGAATTATGCTCTTGTTGTTTTAAGGTGTGTTAAAAAAGAAAGATATCTAAAGCTATCCTTAAATTATGTTATTCCTTTTTAAGGAAAAACATCTTGTATATCTATGTCTTGATTTCAATAAAACTTACAGATGATTTTAATAGTGGGTTAGTATCAAATATCCCTTCAAAGAAGAAAATCGTATTTCAAACTTCAAAATGTGGCTTCTGGTAGATACTTAAGATGTATGTTTTATTAACAAGATACAGAGAAACAAATAATTATAAAGCTAAAGCTAATCTAAGTGACAGGATTAATGATACTAAAATGGTCATATACTGTAGTAGTCAGGGTGTTTCTCTTTAGGTTGTGGAATTAAAAATGGAAATTTTTACTTTGAAAATTCATTACATCTACCATGAAATTAATGCCATGTAGCAGAAACTACTCACAAATCTTGTGTCAGTTTAATAAGCATTCATCAGTTTTGATGACTTAAGGATCACAACTGAAACATCATTAGTTTACTGTAGTTAGTAAGGTTACACACACATATACTGGAAGCTATTAATCAAAATCACATAGTGAGACTGCTATAGAACAATCAAACAAAGAACTTCTATTACAGTAACTATCTCATGTTATAACTACTTACTCATTTAAGATAAATTTCTGACAATTATTGACATAATATTATTCTAGATTAGTTTGATGTAGCTTTGAAGAACTGTTCTACGATTTTGTTTCCTGAATGAAGAGTCAGGAAGTTGTATTACTAGTGACTTTAATGCAGAATTATTTATGCAGTTCTTGTTGCAACTACCTTTAGTGAATCTAAGTTTCAAATGGACAGCAACTGCCTGTTGTAGAAACCTACAAATGTAGAGGACGATGTTTCGTAAGTCTTCCGCCTTTCGTCTTCAGGCGGAAGACTTTCGAAACGTTGTCCTCTACAGTTGTAACTTTCTACAACAGGCAGTTGCTACCTTTAGTGAAACTGTACACCTATGTTTATATTGGATGTAATTTACTACAAAGATAAAATCAACTGTTTTCTTCTATGCTCTTTTACATTTAAAAACATTCTAGTGAGAATTATTTCATAATCAAATTTAACCATCATATTACATTGAGAAGTTAGGTGTATCTGTTACGTTTTGGATCATACTGACCCAAAGTAAGTTGAAACAAGTTGAAATGGCCTTGAAATTTTAAAATATTTTCTCTTTAGATAGTCTTTATTCTTTTATGTTAAATATAAAATATTAATATAAACTTTGATTATAATAAACTCAAAGATACATTTAATTGCATCATAACATTATGGAAACCAGGGTTGGATCAAACAGACTCAGAACCTAATAGGTTGGCTTATTAATGTTCTAGAGGTCAGTTACATAATGTTCTAGTATAAATATTGGAAATTCATACTTCTATAATGGTCTAGTTATTGATGATAATTACATCTATATGATGTCTACAGATTAATATTAAAATTATAATTAAATAATACAATATTGTTCAATATTTAATCATTTAATTTTTACAATATTTTGATATCATTATTTGACAAATGTTATTCATGAATGATCTTTACATGAAAATTAAAATTGTAAAACATAGAATATTAATATTATGCTTCAATGAACTCAAATCTAACCTTAGGTAGTTCATTAACAATATCAGCATCAACGTAAGTAAAAAGCCGAGAAGCAGTCTTTTGGTTACTTGATGACTCCAAGCTCAACACCTGTTGATGATATTTACGTTCCAGGAATGTATGGAGGTTTCTTTCTTCACAGTATTTATCCAGCTCCCTCTAGTATCAATAGTTTTAGAACATTCATTAATATTGGCTGATTACATGAATGAAACAGTTTAATATGAAAGCATTGCCTTCTGCATATCATACAAGGTATTTTAACAAAAGTGAAACGACTGTGAGGTATTAGTGATAAAAATTACTATTTAAAGCAAGACTTAATGAAAATTTAAAATATTATACTTTTAGTAAAAGCAAATAATATCTATCAGACATTTTGTATGATTTTTAGTTTGATGAGAAAACCAAAAGCTAACATTTATTTTAAAAAAACTACTACTACTTTGTCTTTTCAATGAAACTTTTAGTAAGTAGTTATTAGTCACTATCAAGAGCCCTTCATTTTAAGATCTTTCAAAAATGTTCTGTCTTGTCTATCTCTGCAAGTTGTTAAGCAATTTTATTAAACACAGATTTCTTTGAAAAGTATCTATATACAATTACATTGCTATTTACATTAAAATTTTTATTGTCAATATTGACAACACCACTTATTGTTTTACTAAAGAAGGGAACCTATATAAGTATGGGTGTTAAATTTTGAGCCATAAGCCCTAAAGTTTTACATGTGTAGGATAACTGATCTCAATACAAGCATTTAGTAAAACAGAAGATTAGAAATATCAACCTGTTCATACCTGGCTGAAACATTTTTCTTGCCATTTGAAGATAGCATCTTCTTCCAGTTCTTTCCTCAGACATAATTGCTGGAGTTTTGTCCCACTACCTTCTTCTTCAAGTTGTGCCTCTTTCACAACACTTGATACAGCAAGTTTCTCCAAACAAACTCTGAAATAACACATCATTAAAATTCTTGATTAGTGATTTGCTAGAAACAATCTGGTTATTTATTTAAAAAAAAGGGTCTCAATAAAGTTATGACTTTTTATTAATCTTCTATATGCCAAATAGGTAGATTTAAGATATATCATCACACTTGTGATTAATTTTAATAAGCCATTAAGTTTCAAATTGTTTTTTAAAGAACTGGTGTGAACCAAATTACTAACTACAAACTATATTTTTGTATAATTTATGATTTAATTTTCAGAATTCCCATTACATATTTTCACTAACTTTTATGCACAAATAAAAAATGAAAGCAATTCCTCATTATTTAATGTATATAATCCAATATAAGTGGAAAAAACATTGTAAAAATCAGGAAAAATACAATGAAGATCTAACTTGAAATAACTGTATAAAACTGACTGAAAATCTTCAATTTACAAACACTATAAAGTCCCTTTTTTCACTTACTAAATTACCAAAAGCAAAAGAAATAAACAGAAAGGTAAGATAAGTATATTTTTTCTATCATCACAAAATTTTACAAAAATCTCATATAAAAAAGTGATAAGAAATCTAATTACTTGTTATTTTGTTAATCCTAAGCTGTCGTACATGGAAATGCATCAAACATATATAGTACAAGAACAATAACAACCTGAAAATACAATTAATAACATTTCATTGGTTTCTACCTATAAATCATAAACATACTTGTGTTATTATTTTTCAAAATACATTGTACAAATAAAGCTTTCACCTCAAGAAATAATTTCAAAAGTGACAACTGGAATGATTTGTAGAGTCACAAAACTTAGCAGGTGGATGTATGTTTGAACTGGTTTGGTATTTAAGTGTACCAGTTAGGCAATTTACTAATGTACATTATTTGAATAGGATAAATATAAAAATAATGTTCAAGAAAGATCTGAGCTATCAGAATATTTTGTAATTGCCTACTAGCACCTTACTCAATAAACAGTAAACTCGTCTAATTTGCTGATGATTTTATTTGGTGGACATAATGCAAAAACCTCATGTTTACAAACATTGCAACTCAATAAAACCATGGTATATCTATTAAAAAGTAAAAACACACAAGTTTAAACAAAGAATCAAACAAGATACCTTTATTAAGCCTTAAGTAATCTTTGGTCATGTCAATTTTTTTCATTCATACTATACATATTTTCCTGCATCTAGGTAAACTACTTGTACCTGATGATAACATAACTATCTCCAAACATAGTACTGTGTTAAACTTGTTATAAAGTTTCCTTTGTTACCCTTTCAACCTACCACTAAACTGCATAAGCTTATCTTATCTTATCTCAAATTATCTGATGTCTCCTCACTTAAGAAAATTTCTGTAGCTTTCAAACATTTAATTTAACACACAAATATCTTCATAATTCACAATGAAAGAAACTGAAAGGAATGTCCACAGAAATTATAGCAAAAATTTAAACCTATATATTTATTATTACACGATGGTATCATTCTTGCTCTATATAATCATATTTAAACTTTCTTTATAGCTAATTTTAAAACTGTATTCCATTAGAAAATGATCACTTGATGTGGCACCATAAAGAGGTTTCAACCAAAGCCTGTACAAAAACTAAGAGAAACACTTGAAAATCAAGAAATGGACAACATATTCTTAACATGCAATAGCTTCATAACAAAAATAAAGTTATTTTGTGGGATGAGAAGAAAAATTATTTTAAAAATCAATAAATTAGTTATGACAAAACTCTTTGCAGTTATATGGAAACAAAATATGAATTTTTTTATTTTCATGAATTACACTAAATGTTGGCAAGTGACAAAATATTTATTCTACAATAGTTTTAAGCTAAAATTGTTTAAATAGTTTGGATTAAAATATAAAATCACTTTAAAAATTTGTGATGAAAACATATGGAGAGTTAGAGGAACTTCTGTCCTCAGGTATAATAATTCAGGAATAAGATACTTTGTTAATTTTAAACTGCTGTACATGTAAATGTACCATACACAGAAAGTAGTACAAAACCTATAACAACCTAAAAATACAATTAATAACATTCCTTGGGTTTCTCCCTACAAATTTATAGAAGACCACTGTTCTAAAACTAAAAATTTTTTGTTGATGAAAATAAACATTACTTCATGACATTTTCAAATAAGAAATCTTTATATAAAGTTAATAAACTTTATTACCCTAAAAACATCACCAATAAAATATTTGAGAAAAGCACACTAATTTCAGCTATACACTCACATCATGCTTAACTTAGTAGAATACTTCTTTCATTGTCGGAAATAAAATTATTTTTCAAAACATATTCAAAAATGAACACACGATTTGTGAACAATATTGATGTTCATACAAAAAATAAATGTCATATTATGTGAAATGTTGTTAGAGAACCATACTTTTAGAAACTGTTGCTCAAAATACGGGTGATCCAGGATGCTGTAGAGGAGAAAGGAGTAGAGGGTCAACCAGACACCTACAAGCACCACTGATAAATTTATATTAATCTAATTGTTTACTTTATTTATAATTATAAACTGCTAGTATCTTTAGTAGTAAAATCAATTAGTCATTATGAGTAGCTCAGTCAGATTATAATCCAGCAATTTTGCAGGTTAAATCTTCAGTTCAGATAATACGATTGAAATGAAAATAACAACAGTTATAATTATATTCACAAAAAATTATTAAGTCTACACCTATATTCATATTTTAGCATTCATAAACAGGATGCCTATCTTAATTTTTTTTAAAGTCATCACTTGGACATCAAATATGAAAAACATATTTCTTACGAGTATTCAACTTCCAAAGAATGAAAAACTGGTTCTGTAACACGTCTGTTATAAGAGCTGTAGGTGTCCTAAGCAGTACAAACTTTGATAAAAACAAACCTATAAGGATTGAACACATTGTTCATGTCTGGTTGTGGATGCTCTAGTCATTAGTTCAAATTATTGATAATGGCAGATAGCCTCAGTAGTTTGGAAATAACAAAGATAGGAAGAGCAAGTTTAGTGGTAATGGGACTTGAAAGCTAGACCCCCAAATCATGAGACATCCCTCCCACCCATTATGTAGCTTTGTGCTTAACAACAAACATAATGACAGTATTTGATTACTTAAACAGTGGGAATAGTCAGAAACCCTAATTTTGATTAGTCAATTATTTTCATGACATTAATAAATTTAACTGCAATTTCAATTAATTGATTATTTTATGTTACACTAATTAATTATATCAAGTTAGTTGCCTATCTATTTTACAATGCTTGTTAAGTGTCTAAAATATGTAAAAGAAGTAAAACAATAGTTATAAAATTTCTCAACAGTTTTAAGATATATTGTAAGTAAGCTTTAAAATTACAGTTTTTATTTCACATAATTTCTATTTCTAGATTAGAAGTAAAATCACTGCTCATAGGTATCTAACTATATTGCTTCATTGATTAAATCCCCCAGTTCTAATAAACAAGAATTGGCAGTGGGTGGTGCTAGCTAGTTGTTCAAACTTAGTGACAGTGGCAGATAGCTACAGTAACTTTGCCATAACAAAGTGAAGCCAAGCATGTTTTATGGTAATGGGAAATAATTAATTGAATCCTCAAATCATGGCTCTTCCCCAAATCACCAAGCCATATTGGTTCAAAGCTGAACAAACTTGAAATAAAACAACAACTTATTATGCTAAAACTGGGTTTTGACACCTGTAATAAACAGAACACAGACAGTCTATTATGTGGCTTTGTAATTAACAATTGACAAACATAATGACAGTATTTTGATTAGTTGGAAAAACCAAAAAATAGTAATAATTAGAAATTCTAATTTTGAATACTTGACTGAAGGAATAACTGAAAACAGTAAGAATCAGAACAACTAAATGTGATTAGTTAATTATTTTTGGACAATCAATTTAACCATAATGTCAATTAATTTATTGTTGTAATAATTAAGAACGCTAATTTTGATCGACTGATTATTTTCATGACAACTGAATAATCATGATTTTGATTAATCAATTGTTAACATGAAATTTAAGGACAACAAGGGATCTGTTGATCCTTATAGGCCATCCTATTCACTAAACTAAACTATAAAAAAATCAAGACTAGACCTTATTATTCAGATTTTTATCAAGTCTCCCTTTAACTTCCATTAAATTTGCTGCTTCCACCACATCTGAGGGCTACCCGGTTCAAAAGGCCAATTACCCTGTCAGAAAAATAAAACTATCTTAGCTGAAGATGACACCTACTCTGTTAAAACTTGTACTTGTGTCCCCTAGTCCTGTCATTCTCACCATTAAGTACTGAAAAAAAGATAATACATCAACAGTATCACTTCCTTTAACAATCTTAACCCTTTGAGTGCATAGTTAAATTTTGGGTGGGTTCTTGAAAAGTGTCAATTATCCACTAAAAATGAAATTTAGAATTTGACGGTTTTTAGCACTTTTTCAATATCAAAAATCCACTAGTTGCACTTTTGCTCGGTGATGTATGCACACGCAGTACTAAGGTGGGAAATGAAAGGACACGTGAGTATCCTGATTGTCGCACTGTGAGGAAAAGGTTTTGTGACACCATGGGGTACATCTGCTTGACGCACCAAATGGCTAGAAATGTCAAGTCAGATAAAACTAGTTATAGTAATCAAAGGGTTATACACCACAAACAGACTCCCCTCTTCTTTTTTTCCAAGAGAAAACAATTTCATATCTTAAACTATCCTCATACGATAACCTTTCTGTCTTAGGTATCATCCTAGTAGCCTTCCTCAGAACCCTTTCCAACAATTCATTGTCTTTCTTAAGGTAATGCATCCAAAATTAAATACAATATTCTTAATGTGGCCTAACCAATGACCTATGCAATGGAATTATAACCTCTTTAGACTTGTATTCAATATTTCTGTTGATAAAACCTAAAACCATATTTTCCTGCCATTAGCAACAGCGCATTGCTTATATGCTTTAAGAGAATGATCAACTAGAAAATAAAGATCCTTTCCTTCCATAACATTGTAAAGTTACATATAATTCAAATTATAATGTAATAAATTCAAGATGATGCATGTGGTTTAACTAAAAGCCATCTGCAACGGCAACCTCCTCACAGACAGCAATACCCACAACCTTAATATCATCAGCAAATTTAAATAATTTATTGACCATTCCTTCATCTATGTCACTGAAGTAAATCACAAATAGCAAAGGTCCTAACAGTGAGGCACTTCACCTGTGAAATTAATCCAGTTTGATTGAACTCCATTTATAACAACCACTTGCTTTCTTCCACCCTGCCATTTTCTATCCAATGTTAAATGACTTTGCAAAGCATCATTTATCAGATATTCAAAATTTTTTCCATCATTGACATTGAAATAATCAAAAACAGTAGTAATCAGACACATATATTTTGATTAATTATTTTTGACATTAATCAATTTATTTGTAATTTCAAAGATCTTATAGTTTATGTGACAATAACTTTATAATCACTGCTCACTGATTATATCGAATGATTCACTCAGCTCTACCAAGCAATTGATTATACTTGAAACTTCTTTCATACATGAAACCACACAAATTTGTGGCAGCAGCTTTTCCAATACCCAAGACTAAAAACACTTCAGAATGTCCACACAACAATTGTCATTAAATTACAAAAGACTGAATCATTAAACATATGTGTAAAGATGATTTTGCAAGCAAAAAACTACTTTAACATGCAAATTAAATTTTTCTATACACATTATTTATTTTATGATATTAAACTAAAAATAACATTATCTAATCACAAAATTATTCACCTTATTTTTAAATTCTGAATGGGATCATGTGTTCTGTAAATTCCTGGTGGATGTTTTTCAGCTTTCTTGTTTTGATAATTCATCTTTATGTTCTTTGAATCTGCAAAAAGATAATTTATTTTTACCCTCTATAAAAATGATATAAATATCATTATTTTTTACTCCAGCATTTATGAAAATTCTTAAAGTTCATTCTGAATAAAAAAAATCCCCTATTATGATACAGTTTTTTTAACATCCTGTCTGGAAGTTGATGAGACAGAATTTGGGAGATTGGGTAAGCTGCAGAATAATGTCACAGCTTCTGGTATTCAAATCAGAACCAAAAGAATGTACTCCAGGAAAAAGCTCAATCTGTTAACCTAAAAAAAAAAACACTTTACTGCCAAAACAATTCTCCTCTTGACAGTGTTCAGTCCTGAAGATGCAGAAGTTAAAGGTTGGCAAGACTGTTCCTATTGAACAAAGTAGCAGAAGTGTTTATGTTCAAACAGGTACTGCACATAGCCATCTTAAAATAGTAAATAAGCTTTGTTGAGCCTTCCTTGGTCATCTATATCAACAGAGCTCATGACAACCACAGAGAAAATGGTTTTATAGAGCTTGTATTGCACAATATGTGTAGCCACAATTTATGGAGATATGGGTTTACTCCTTCGTAGCCTTGAAACTAGTGCAAATTCAGCCATAAAGGTGAGTAATTAATATTTCAGATATTGGAAGGAGCTCAAATCTCTATTCAGAATTAAGAAACAAAGATAGTACTGAAAAACTTTGTTTGGGAATTAACTCACTGAAAATATCTCTTTGACTAACAGACAGGTGTTAAAACTTAATCTAGACCAACACAATTTAAGAACTCACAAGTTTGTCCTAATTTTCTTGCAAGAGAGAACCAATTTCTGACCACAAAATAAAAGCACAAATATAAAGTATTTATAAATCCCACATTCTATTTACCTTGATGGCTAAACAGTTTATCTTTTATATTTGTCTTAAATAAGACTTCCATATTTTCACACTTTTGTCCTTTCTCTGTAGTAGGTATTTATTTTACCATTGACTTTATTATTATTATTAATGATTCAGTTTTCCAAAGGTCTGTCATTTTATTTGTATTATATAGTATCTAGTATTTTAATTCATATTACAATTATGTTTCACTCAACCAAGTGGGTGCCAAATACGTTTTCCATGGCACATTCATGAGTACATAAATATATATTGATAAAAAAAAAAACCCAGATAAATTAAATTTAAAATGGTAAGTGCAAATCCACTGAAGTAATTGAACATTTAGGATATTTTGCAATGTCCTTCATTTTTCAGTACTTGGTGGTTGCTTATGTGGTGGTCATACAGTAATCCAAATAAATGCAAGAAAACACCTTGCAACATCTTCAATGATGCCTTAAATGAACAATATTTCTTTAGCCTCATGGCCATCACTTCAAGATCTCAGAATGTGATATCCTTTTCATGATAGTGAAACATAATAAAAAACTGTGAAGCCATGAAGTATGCTTTACTGTCACAGTACTACTATTAGTGATATAAATAATGCTTAATTGAATGTTGTTTACCCATACTATAAATGCACAGAGAAAAATTATGATAATTTTACACAAAATTACATTTTTCCTGGTACTATTAAGTTTCAAACTGCCATTGTAACACTGAAAAGGTGTCATGTTGAAAGGGGCATCTTTATATCATAAACATAAAATTCATATAAAGATCTCACAGTGATTCAGTATATTACTGTATTTCCTGATTCTATTACTCATAGAAATAAATATTCCTATTTAACAGCATAAACAAACTGACTTTCTGAAGTTTAGACTGGCTAGCCTCTAGTTACATTCAATTTCAAAATCTAGCACATCTGCCAGTAGATTGTGACTGTGAGCAGAGGCAGATTATCATTAAGGCAACCGAGGCTGACACCTCAGGCCCCATGCTTGAGGGTGTCTCCAATCAGCTCAGAAAAGAAAAATTCACATAAATATATAATTATAAGGATTATAGTGTTAAATTATCAATTGTAAAACAATCATAAAAATATATTCAATATTAGCCTGAGCACTATACATGTAAATATACTATGTACTGTACATATAAATGTATTGTTAATAAAAAATTACCCCTTCCCCCAGAAAATAAATAAAATTAGCCTCAGGCCCCAAGTATAGTTATTTGTCTTTGAGTTTAATTTGCCACTAGTCTGTGAGACATACTTGTATAAAAAATGACATAATACTAATAATATTGCGACGATAATCAAGCCTTAGTTTTACATGAATAATACATAAAAGATAAGCCACCAAGGCTACATTAAATTATAGTTTATAATTTTCATTATGTTACACCTTAGGTTTTACTTTTAACATCTCACAAATGAGCATCTATCACTTCCAAACTGCATTGTTATTAGTATGGGCCTCTTACATACTTGTACTTTGGATGCGGCGCCAAAATACGAATAATTTAATGAAATTTAGTATAATTTCCTCATGTGTAGTTAGAAAAATAAAAACACTTTTACATAAGTCTTTGCGTTGTAAAGCAGTAATGTTCCCCACGAGAGTGCGTCAATCCAACAATAATTTACATTGAAAGAAAAGGACAGTTACTGAATACAAATTTGATAGAATACTCTTAGGTAGTTGAACGTCTAAATAATAAAAGTAAAATCTTATTGTATATGTCTTATAAGAGTAACCGTTAAATACCACTATCCAGTCAGACAAGAGTAGCCAAGAAGTTTTTCAAGAAGAAGAAGAATGCATAATAATATTTTCAACAAACACTATGTCCCCAACGACCGTTGCTGACAACGCGTTTCGCTCAATTTTTTAGCACATCAGGCTAGCTGGGACGCAATAAATATATAATTCAAAGCACGATTTAGTGGTCGTGATTAACCTGTTAACCCCCACCACCTGTACGAATCTAATAAAGTAAGATTTAAATATGAAAAAGCATAAAAGTCTTTAACACAAAAGTCTGATGAAAATTATAATAAATCAACAAACACGGATTACATGTTTTTCGAGTGTTTCTTTCCTGCGTCAGAACAACGGAAGATCTATCCGCGTTACTTCACGTGTAATGGCGCTTTGAAGAAAAGTTACAGGCTGGGTAAACGTTTTTTTTGTTTTTTGTTTCATAATTACTTAAGGATCAGAAAACATACATTAAATCAGTGCACGTGAAAACTAACTGCAACTGGGAATACGTGATCATAAGTCAAATGTGACAATTGATATTGGATGTAGAAGAATACGGCGCATTGGAATAAAAGTTTATATTTTTTATTGTGAGTAAGAAAGAGATAAGCAATACATCATCCAAGTTTGAGAGTGGTTTCTTCCTTCTATTTCTAGCTTTCTAGTTGTGTTTTCCATCTATCGCTTTTAACAAATCACCAAGAAGTTGCAAATATAATATATTGTAACGACAGCGGAAGTCACGTGACACTGGTAACACGTGATGAATTTCTAGAAGGATCGGGAAACATCACGAATAATCCAGTATTTGCTAGGCGCCCTCTATTTTAGTATATATTTTAGTATATAAGCCGGCAAATAAAGTGACGGCAATAACTGAATTGCAGACAGAGAGATATAGAGACAGATAATCGAGTCAAGCTGTAAATAAATTGCGTGAATCGTTGTGAATTTTAGCGTGTGTTGAAGTTAAAGTGACTGTGGAAATTAAGTGTACTGCAAAGTTGAATTGAGAAAGAATAAACTAGTTTTATTTAAGAAAGGACTTGTATCGCTGAAGTTCTTCGGAAAGAATTTCTACGGAAAATTAACAAACGAACAGAGACGTAACAATATATTAAATTTGCTTTGTGTGTGTTAAGATTCAAACGAAAGAACATTCACAAACTTTATTCAGCAATGACAAAACATGGACTGTTTTTACAAATCATCAATGGAATCTTCGATTTAGTTCCTTTTAAAACAAACATCAAATTTTATGGCACAGTTTAGTAAAATTTTAGATAGAATGGTTATGTCGTATTCTCAGGTGCACTGATTATCTTTCAGGTAGGAATACCCACATTAGCTTACGACACTAAAAATCGATTTCGATACTATGGTGGATACAGTACAAATGGCTCATTGTGTAGCTTTGCGCTTAAGAACAACATCAAATCATGTAGGAATAATCATAATAATAAAAGCAATAGCAGAAAAATGTTAAGCAGAACTAAGCCTAAATTTCTGCATAATAGGAATGATGCAAATGCCATCCCTACTATCTTTTTGCATTGTTTTTGAAAGATTGATATTAATTATCCCTACATCTACTTTCTTTTTTGAAAACTATTTTCTTTACTTGTTTGCTTGTTATTTTAATGCAGTGTTTCAATAAACATAGAAAAGTTGCATTTATAACCAAGTTCTAGATACAACGAGGTTCCAACTGTAATATTTATTGTTTATCTATTATTGGCTGATAATTCCTGTTACATCCTGTACTTAAACTTTTTAAAGGAACACCAATTTTCTGTAAGAAAGCTAGCTTCAAAGGGCAATGATAACATCGTTTACACTAAAATTATGATTTTTTAAAAATTACTATTATTTATTAATAATATTTATAAAAGGGATACTCCGTTTGAAACTATGTCACCTCAGTGAAATTGGTTGACACCATTGTTTTGGTTTTTGAGTTATCATGTAATAAGAAAGAACAATAAATTCAAACTTTTTGCTATGATATTTACAGACATTGCCAGAACTTGTGACTCAGTCATTACATATATATTGTTATAAAAGGAAACACGTATAGTATTGTAAAGTTCTACCACGTCATCTACTCTAGAGAGCATGAGCAACTTACTACAGGTTTGATCAGTCCATTAATCTGATATTGAAGTTTCTTTTGAACATGTTTCATTTTTTGACTTAAACAATCATTTTTAAATGAGAAAAAAAATAAAATAAAGCCAGTATTACGTTTAAGTATAAGTTTTGTTTCATATTTTTTCTTGGTCTTGCTGATGTCTTAGGTTGTATAAACTGTTCTCTGTCAGCTGTCTTAAGATATCTTTTATCCTGACTAATGTGGTATGTGAAACATATAAAATGTTTTTGTTCTCATTTAGTTTAGAAAAGTATAAATTTATTGTTCATCAAACCTTTTTAAAGATTTTCACTTTTACACGCAATGATGCATGTTTAATGTATAGGCTTTTAATAGTGGTGACTTCATTGTTATGCTAGTCGCAGACTGTTAAGGATCATTTTCTATTTGATATTTCAGGATCTTTTTTGTGAAATCCTTGCGCTTGTTGTGATGAATTCTCTAGTCGCCTCGGAAGAGTAAGGGTTTAGATGCACTTTATGACTTTGGGTGGCAAATGCACGCTGGGAGATTTAACCCTATTTGAATAAATATATCATGGTTGATTCTATAAATATTCTCTGTTTGTTTTGGTACAGATCTTTCTCGTCTTTAGAAATATAAGTGCGAGAGTCCTTCATTTATTGCATTCATCAAACACCGATTTATTTTTTTTTGTATCGAACATACAAATAATGTGCTTTGTCTCACAGCCAAGTTTTGTTTCTTCTTGTTCTTTTAATTCACTCAGGTAAGAATTCAAATTAACTCCATAATACAATTTCTGCTGAATCTCTTGTTAGAGCGATTATTAGTTTCACTCGCAAATACCACACTACCTCACTGTGGTATCAAAAGAAAGCAGTCATACTCGAATCAGTTGTGATATGGCAATAGATTGTTTGTAACTGGATCTGAAATTTAAAACTTAATTCTATACTATATATATATATATATATATATATATATATACTCAATGTAAAGTTCGTGTTCCAAGGAATCATCAGTCCTGATTTTCTATATTTAACTTTCCTTGAGTTCAAATTACGAAAATGTCATTCACACAGCTTTTATATAAAAATATTTTGTTCGTTGTTTGTTTGTAGTTAATCACAAAGGGCTATTTGTGCTCTGCCCATCACTGGTATCGAAAACCGTTTCTAGCGTTGTAAGTCCGCAGACATACCATTGTGTCACTGGGGGGCCTGTTTACTGTTAAGCACAAAACTACGCAATGGGCTATTTACTCTGTTCACCGCGGATATTGAAATTCAATTTTTAACGTTATAAAAAGTCGTTTTTACGTATATGGAGGAAAAAGCTATTTATAAGAATTACTTTGAAATAAAAAAATAAAATAATAAAACGTCGGAGCATTTCTTGTTTGCTCTGGAAATTATATTCGCCAAGTTGAAATTTTGAAAGAGTGAACTTTAACATGTTTTACGTGGCTGTTAAAGTTAAGCCTAAGATGTAATTTCAACTTATGAACTGTCGCATAAAAACTGCTATCCCTTCCTTCACAGGTATGTTACAATACAAATATGGTTCATCACAATAAGATCTAATCGATTTCTCTGGTAATTTCTTAAGGTAATCCTCTTTCACACAATCTAAAAGTTAATTTTGTATTTTAAGTTTGCTTATTTTGGACATTATTTTAAACTGATAGTTGATTAGAGGGAACGCAGCTAGTTAGCATCACCCGGGTAACTCTTGGGCTACTCTAATCGAATAGTAGGATATTACTTCATTCTTTTAACGAATCACAGCCCCAAGGTAAGTAGCACTATTTTAGCGGCAATGAGACACCAATCATGTATCATCGGATTCACAGTCCAGCACGCTGAGCACCAGGCTATACCTAGCCATATTTTTAAGCTCTGATGCAATTCACAGGAATTGACTTAATACACTTTTTAACAGCTATAAAAGTTTTTGCGTGATATCTTGCGTGGAATTACTATTGGTCTTAAGGTATGAAATCTTTATGGATGTTTGGTAGTTCATACCTTTCGGCGCAACTAGAGTGTCAAGGGACCAAAGTTAATCGTAGAGCTTCAAGGATCTTAGATTTAGTAGATTCTTCCAAAACTATTTTGTTTCTTTCTCAAGGTAATAAGATCTTTCGCTAACTTTGAAATCAATTATGATTTAAGTTGAAAACAACAAAGGCGCTCAATAAACTAACTTCGATATCAAATCAACAGAGAGATCTGGCAAAAAATCTTAAATGACATTTCACGGAATGAACTTTCTACCCAAGTACGTGTATTGTGCGGGAGTATGTTACATGTAAGATTGGACTAAAATGGTGGAGGTACTTTTAAAAGAACGTGGTGTGCAGACTAGCATGTACTCTGTGTGGTGACAGATATATCGGTGCTCCGTGAGGGATAGGGTAATGGAACATGTTCGAGATGCTAAAAACAGAAACGACCGACAACCATTTGGCTTACTTTTGTAACATCGCGTGAATGCCAATGAAAACGTTCCCTCTATTGTGAAAACAACACATCTTCTGTTGACAGAAAAATTACTGAAAGTTTAATAACTAGGAATGAACGCTCCGAATGAAACAGTCAATTTACTTGTCCCCTTACTATTTAATTTCATGATTATATCTTTGCACAACGCATACAACCTATTGTACAGCTTTGCGCTAAGCAATAAACAACTCTTCATCTCTACATTTAAATGATTTTATTAATATGTTCCTCTACATGCATTTACGTTTTGTTTTTGCAATGATTGGACACTTTTTTGTCCATCGCATAATGATTTTATGTAGTTACCTATTTACGAAATGGTAATGATTAGTTGTTGGAAAGAAGTTTTTACCACGCCACCACGTGATTTGCTTTAATTTGGTTTCTTCTCGAACACTGGAACAGCACAATGTACATAATGTATGACACCTTATATAGCCATAAGAGCCATGATTAGTTATTTAAATTTTATACATACTATTTAAGGGTAACAAGTCTTTTAACAAAATACAGGTTATAATACTGTAAATATATTGTTTCAGCAAACTACGTCCATAATAAAGCCTTCTATTTTCACACAACTACAATGAACTGATTAATTAATTTTTTATTTATTATATCATGTTACCAGAGAAAGCTACTGAGTTTAATTTTTTTCTCTCACTTTTTTCATTTTTTTCTGGTCATGTAAGTCCTTGCGTTACTTAGAGAGAAGATGGGTACTACCAGGTAAATCTGCCTGAGTATCACCAATGATGTATTAGCATCTAAGGTGCTCCAACAGTCGTAAGCACCCTTAGGACTAAAAAAAATCATCGTGTAGCTCAAAAATACTTGGTTATACTTTAAAATCTAATTTGTCATGAGTAGGCTTTACAAGTGCATCCAAAACTCTTTCAGAAAGGTCACTCGACAAAATATTAATGAACTAGCAGCTTGATGAAGCAAACTATCTAATATGGTAATTACACTTCCAATTAATTGCAAAAAATATCTCTTGGGCATTGATTCAATAACAATTACTAGATGGCTTCCAGAAGGAAACACACTTTCATTACAAGTAATTCATTTTGGGATCTCTACTCCCTACTAATTCCAATACACAGGTTGAGTATGTTTTATTAAAACGATTTTGGAGCCTCACCACATCGTTAAAGTCCATGTCACCACGTCCGGTCATGCTCTATCTGATGGCTGTGCCTCTTGACAATAGTCTTGCAGAGTAGTTCCTACTTCAAAAAGCTCCGTCTTATATGTGTGTTATGTCAAATGTACACCACTACTCTTTGTATGCTTTCCATTATCTCTATAGTGTACGAGGTCGACTGTTTTCCAGATCCCGTTTCAGCAGTCCGATCGCATAGAAATCCATAGGCGCTGCGTTTGGTGATTTGACCGATATGTTTTTTTTATGGAATAGCATGAATACCATTTTATTTTTCCAGCTGCTTGAATTATGCGACAGTTGAACGGACATGGCATGGAAGCAACTTGTGTACGCATGACTTTTGTCGTTTTTAAAGAAAGATATCTTTCTTGGTTATGGTACATATTGTTGCCTAAGAAACGTGGACGACTTTTGTCACTGAAATTTGTGTTTGTTGATTCTCCCCTGTTACAAGAAACCGCACTTTGTTTACCAAGGATGGGGTAGGACGTGTTGCAGGTCTCCTTCTGGATGATCTTGGGGCTTCAATAGATCCACATTCCTTTGTTTTCCAGTATCATTAAATATAAGAAATACCCCGTCTTGTGAATTATATATACCGGCCCAATCTGAATATATATCTATGATCTGATTGTATGGTTTTTTTTTGTGTCGAAAAAGGCTGTTACATACCCTTCGCAAAAGCTATCAGTTTTCGGTGACATCACACTACCTATGAAACACCAAAGTATCTAAAAATGTAGTTCTGATAAATGCCTTACCACCACGAGTTTATATCTTTGTGGTTGTCACGAGTGCGTGTCAAAATCGTTTTAATATAACGTACTCATCTCTGTATACAGGTTGTCCGAAAAGTCTGGAATCATAGATGATTTTCAGCTTTTCTTAAATTTAAAGCTTGTTTGAATGACAACTTCCCAGAACATTGGATTGGCAGACGTGGTCCTCAGGAATGGGTCCCAAGATCTGCGGACTTGACTCCAATGGATTTCTTTTTCTGGAGACTGCTCAAGGCACATGTGTACAAAGACAAGATCAGAGACACCGAACATCTGAAACAACGAATTCGCAACGAGTGTCGGACCATTGACAATGGCACGAATGTGCTTCACAGTGTTTAAATAGAATGGAACCACCGTCTCCAAACTAGTTTAGAATTACAAGGACAGCATGTGGAACACATTTTATGGTTCCAGACTTTTTGGACATCCTGTAAATTATGTTTTTCTTAGACAGATGAAATCGCGGTTTAAATAAAACTAAAGACGTATAAGACCAATGTTTCAGGCGTCTTAATATTAATTATTTTTTTATAAATTTAGATTTCTGTGTGATCTTTTAATTTTATTAGGTGAAGTGACTAGATTATCACTTGTTCCCCGCTTCATGTATTTGATTTTATTTATTTTCAAATCAAACCTTTGGTGCACCGTTATGTCGTTTTGTTTCTTATTCCGTATGATATATGGTTGGCCGTGGCCTACTGGTTAGGTTAAGACCGTGATGCCACTGAACACGCTGAGGATTTTCAGTTCCTGGCGCATTAAAAAAAGTAACAGTTAATCCCTTTGTTTGATTCAAAGCATCGGACACGGCTCTTCTGGCTGCCGGTGCTGCTGACTGTTTTCCTTCTGGTCAGTACAGAAAGCGCTCTGTCATCAGTGTAGGTCAAACCATTTTGTATCCACTACTAAGAGTTCAAGTACTGCACTATGAAAAGATTACTGATAGTGTAAATTTTGTATCCAAGGAATACTGAGAATACTACACCTTAAATACAATGATTAGTGACATAGTACTCTGGGCCGATGTAATATGTGAGCAAACAAAGAACATTGTAAGTTGATGTTCAGAGAGTAAGTATACTGTAAGTTGGTTTACCGAGCAAGGCATGTTGGTAGTATTGTCGGTCAACTTACAGGCAGGGGGAAATGACAATACTCTAGATCAACGTTTCCCAAACTTTTGTCATCCACGCCTCCTCTTTAATAAATATAGTTTATTTTTTAAACGAGCGAAGTGACGAGATATATGGATCCCATTAAAATGTTATATGTGTTGTAGTATTATTTTCATTAATAAATATATTAAAACACATAATCTTGCATTATTGCACTGTCGACTCTGCCCTAATCTCTCGCCCCCCCCCCCAAATAGATCAATTGCGCACTCCTGAGTAAACACTACTGTAGATCAACTTAACAAATATATAACATTGAAATAAACTAGTATAAATTTAACACGTGTGGAGCACTGATGATAATACATATTATCAGTAATGCTTGTCACTTACAATGCAAAACAAACTGTCATAACTAGACGTTGATTTACCATCTAATAAGTACTGAAAGTACAGTAGATTAGTTTATGTTAGCTCGTCATCTCTGAAGAAGTGATGTTACTGTTGGTCAATTCGTCATTTATTTAGAATAATCATCAACAGTACTCTTACTATCTACAATTTTATTTGCCTTGCTTTATTACCTTAACAGAGTCCCCCCGGTGGGTTAAAGATACGTTTATGGACTTACATTGCTAAAATCCGGAATTCGATTTCGCGCGGTGGACAAAGTGCAAATAGACCTTTGTGTAACTTTGAATTAAGAAAAGTACAACAACTATCTTAATGGCACCTTATATGCACGTGGGTTAAAACAGCCAGGTCAGAATTCAGATGATTGTAGTTTCAGTATTCCATATACGGCAAATTGACATTAAGCACTATCACTAATAATTAAGTAATCAATTATCATACAATGCTCTTTGTATTTCATGGTTGATAAATGGCTTACAGTACAAAAATACATTTTATCAACTTACTGTGAATTTATCTTTCGTCAACTGTAATTTTCTTAACGAAGATATTACAATTGTTAACAAATATAATGCTCTACTATTTCACATTTTCAGTTGTTATGAAGTATAGTATATATTTTGTTAAAATAATATCACATTTTTTATTATATATTTTTAACGGCCAATATATATCATAATTTCTAATAACGTCTCACGGAGAGTGTACGCATCATGATATTTACTTGAATAATATGGTGTTTGGGTTACTCTTGTAATCAGAGCCCCAAATTATGAAACAGTTTATGAACATTTTACAATGAATTACATCATCTCAAGATGTCCCCCGGTAGGACAGAGGTAAGTCTACAGACTTTCATCGCTAAAATCCGGGGTTCGATTCTACAGCAGATAGCCTAATGTGGCTTTGGTCTAAAACATACAAACATCATATCAAAAAATTAAGAACTATCAAACTGATTAAACTTACTCTAGTTTCTTACTACTCTGCAGATATTGTATTTTATATCATGTCAAAACATTCCCCATTAAACATATAACACATAAAGAAGTTATATCCAAATAAAGAATTTAATAACAAGAACTGGAGCCATCAGAGTAATAATGTTTTTTAATTCATCACGAATTACAAGCTGATGGAACACTTAGAAATTATTTTAAAGTATAGAACAGTAAAGTTGATATAGTGTTTGATATTTCAGACATGACAGAAAGAAGGGTTTAGCTGTTTTCGTTCGAAGATAAAATTCCAAGATTTCGGGCAACAGTTTTGCATTTCAAAATTACTTCTTCATGCGTTAAGTGATAAGCCATGATAACAACTGCTAACCCTAGTATCATGTAAAAACTGCCAATAATCAGCCTTGCCTGTCCGGAGTGAACGTGTGTCTCAAATTTGTATGACCCAGGAACGAGGTTACCGAAACCAATAGTACTTAGTGCAACGAAACAGAAATATGCACCGTTCAAAAAACTCCAGTTTTCCCCCAAAGAAAATATCATGGCTCCAATGAAGATGTAGGCAACGACGAAAAGAATCACTACGTACATAGGAATATGTTTCTCTTGATTATGGCTGGCATTGTCTTTGTTGTTTAAAAAAGCGACATCAGAAAGGCTGAGCTTGGAGGTGTGGTGAGTAAAAGATGGAGGAAGCGACGAAGATTTCGTATTATTACGTCGAGCATAGGGAAATTTGTTGGAAATATCGACACATAGATTTTGCGATTCTTCCACAGCTGGGTTAAGTGTTGACATTTTACAACTGTTCTCGTTACTTTCATGGCTCATTGCAGTCTGATTATTTGTCGACCAATGGTTTCTTTTTTCATGACTTATTAAGTTATTGTAATCATTTAACTGATCAGAAGGTGACGACTGACCACTTTCAGCTGTCTCTTCAACTAACTGCTGACCAGGATTCCACGGTTGAATATTCTCCTCAACACTTGCTTGGTCATTCGGAAAGGACGAACTGCTACTTGGCATCTGTTTTCTTATCATCATATTCACTGCCTTTTGAATTTGCCTGAACTGAATTTGCTCTCGACAGCGAACACAACAGATATGAAAATAGATAAATCTGAATAGTCGAGAAAAATAGTATCCAACTTTGGTCAGGCACAAAAGCATCAGAGGGACTCCTACGATGGAATAGAATATGGTCACTACTTTGCCAAAATTTGTTTTAGGCGCCATATTCCCGTAACCTAAAGATAAAATGGCAAAAGTACATGGATTATTAGTGACTTAAGTTGTAGTTTAAATGACTTATACATTAATAACTGTGAAAAAATATTTGTTTTATGACAATTATTGATTATTACTAGACAAATCAAAGAAGTGATTATCGAAACTTGAAAAAATAAGATCTAAATAACTGGCATTTTTGAATTCACGAATAGATAAGTTATTACAGTATCATGAAATGAAAAGAAAAGTTACATCCTTAGGCAACAAGCATAACCTTACATATTAATGTTCGTAACGAAGTTTGTACATTGATTCACATTTAGGTCAACCTCTGAGATCAAGAGACATTTTTTAAAATGGTGTCACATTGGTTAGCTGTGTCTAGAAAATGGTAGTAGAGGCATTTTCACATCTTGAAGTATTTGAGAACTCATTTGGATTACCTTAAGAATTAAACTTCCTTTCTATTTACAAACATAGCAATATAAAATATAAACACTGTCAGTACACAATATAAGCAGCTTCTGCCTGAACTTATTAATACTAAAAGGTTTATGCTATTTAAAAGCGAAAATTTGCTTAATTTTATTATGGAATTTTTGTAAAGGTATGCTCTGCCACAGACCACTGCTGCTTTCTAAATAGCTTTCCATGCGATGCAAGAAATCTTTACCTTCATTCCTGAATTGGGTGGGTAAAAAAAAAGAATGCAAAATTCAGTCCGCTTAATGACAAAGAAACTTTTTATATTTCTTCGATGACTAGTTCTACAAATGATCTTAGCTAATGTTTGCTGATAGGCCCAAATTTGCATTAAACGCTAACACAACAATTTTACTTATCTGCTAATTTTCTCGAAAGGTATGGTACTTCTCGTATCTCTATATTTTGTAATCAAAACTCAAACTCAGTATTCACAAAACGGAACGAACTGGCTGAAAGTAACAGATAAATTGACCCAAGAATCATTCATCTCTACAACAGACTCACAAATCTACAATGACAAACTGTAGACTAACTAGTTTTGATATTTGTCTCAAATCATTACTTAAACTTTCAATAAGGTTTGTTTGTAGTTAAGCACAAAGCTACACAATAGGCTATCTGTGCTCTGCTCACCACGGGTATAGAAACCAGGATTCTAGCGTTGTAAGTCCGCAGACATACCGCTGTGCCACTGCGAGGCATTCAATAAGGTTCTAGTGAAAGTTTTCCTCTGGTCAAACAACAATACAAACGTTTAAATTAAAACAACATGGTCTGTAATATAATGTTTTCAGATAATCCCCCTGGCTAATTCAGGTAGACTGTTATTATTAGCCTGATATTTTCAACATTTTGTTTGTGTTACTTTATATTTCACAAAAAAGTTTTCTACATATTATTTGAAATTTAGTGCTGATGTCGTACACTTTTTTACGTGTTTCACTCCCTCTATATTAGTTGTTTTAAAAACGATTTTACAAGATGCGTTATTAAACAACGTGGATATATATCCTGATTTCCAATAAAACGATGTACATAGGGAAGAGTAGTTTCATTTTATCTAGGTTTTATATTAAACTGTTTGATAAACAAAGCTTAATGATGACACTGTTTTAATAATTTGGCTATATACTATGTTTTTAATACACACGTTTCTCGAAATTTGTATTGTTGTTTAGTCGGAAGAAAGTTTAACACAACGTGGTGGACGTGGCCTTAATGTATGGAACTTTCTCCAAAGAGAGAAAAGTAAGTTAAACAGCCGATGAAGTAGCTATTGAAAATATAAGTCTGACAGTCAGTTAATAATTAATCAGCGTATAATTAAGTCAGTTTGTTGTTACTGTCAGCCAGTTAGTCAGTGAGTGAGTTCAGTGCTAGGGGGAATATTTAGTTTGTGTTTCGACGTAAAGGTACGAAATCAGAAAGTAAGTGGAACTTCTGTTAGACATAGTTTATTTGTAAAGTTAGGCTTATTGGTAAATGTTGGTCACGCTATCCACGAAATTTGAAGTTGGAGAAAAATAACGTTTTGGCACCATTAAGTTATTTGTAATTTTTATTATTTGTTTTATCAAATAATCTAAAAAAAACACTTAACAACAGAAACCCCGTCCCACCAAATATGCTCTCCCTTTCAGCCTTGGGGGCGTTATAATGTGACGGTCAATCCCACGGTTCGTTGGTAAAAGAGTAGCCCAAGAGTTGGCGATGGGTGGTAATGACTAGCTACCTTCCCTCTAGTCTTACACTGTTAAATTAGGAACGGCTAGCGCAGATAGCTCTCGTGTAGCTTTGCGCGAAATTCAAAACAAACAAATAAAAGATAGCTTTATTCAAGTTTGTTGAATTTCGCGCAAACCTACATGATGTCATTTCAAAATTAAAAAGCTGATAATGATATATATAATTAAGTATAATGTTCCTAAGTTACTAAGAGTGGCGTACATAGGCATGTGAAGATCGTGGAACAAGAATATTTTGCTCCCCTAACCAAACCGTACAAATAATATGTAAGTAAAAGAATACACTAAATTATGACATAAATGAAATAAATCCATGTTTCCGATTGCTTCTGGAATTATTACGTCGGAGATGTAAGTGTGGGGTCTCTAGTTGTTGATTCGAAGGGGTGAGGGAAGGCTCAAAGACTGCCCCGCCGGCCCTATTTACAGGTGGGTCTTTAACGAGTTCAAATGTATATCAAAACCGGCCCCTGGGTCCCAGAAGTGTTGAGTTCGTGTATCTTACCGTGGACCTATATAAGTTAGAACTGAGTATCATAAAACTGAGTACCCGGACACGAAAGGTATGTATTTCAAATGTCTCACAAATGGACCTTTAACAAGTTGGGACTGAGTTAGTTCAGGAGGAGTACTGTGGAACTGAGCCTTGGGGCAGATATCCCAACTGCTTTACCTATAGGAAAGTCAATAGTTATTAGGTGTTTTCGTTTATGTTAGCTTTACAGAAGTTAAACGCAAAACATATAGTTCACCACATTATGGATCACTGCCCAGGGTCCTAAACATGATAGGTCAAGCAGAATTTTTGATAACTAGCTGCCTTGCGAATTTTTATTTAATTTTCTTTCTCCTCTCAATTAAATAAGATACTCACAATGAAGGAAAATTTAGGGAAGCCAAGTAAACTCTAAATATTATACGTGTAAACTTGCGATCGATTTTGGTATACTTTGTGTGTGTGTATATATTGTTGCGTATCTGGTCGTTTGTTAATTTCCGGTAAAAATTCTTCCCGGGGAACTTCAGCGATACAAGTCTTTTCTTAAATAAAACTAGTTCATTCTTTCTCGTTACAAACTTTGTAATACACTTAATTTCTACAGTCACTTCAACTTAAACATACGCTATAATTCACAACGATTCACGTACTTTACTTATGGTCACTACCGCTCACTTGACTGTCTATCTGCAATTATCTCTCCGCTTTATTTGCCGGGCTTATATACTCCATCAGAAAATGTCCTATTATCGGTAACAGTCACATCAGCGGTAGTAGCTTCATGAAGGGCTTCACTGTTTCCATTCTCAAAACCGAGTAGAGTTTCTTCTTCGACAGTGGCTTTTCCAGGTGACACGTCTTCAGCAGCATCATTTGTTCCATTTTTCACTTTGTTCCAACTGAAATGTCCTGGACCATGAGACTGCCAAAGCCTGTTGGCATGCACCACCTTTGGCTTACCTCGCCG